ATAATTGTGAAAGAAGAATGAATAAACTTGTTGCCAAGGGGGAGACTGGGATCAGTCATCAGATGTCCAGACAATGCCTCAGGGCCAGGGTCTCAGCTCCTGTCCTGCTGCAACACTTACCCTTCATCTGCCCTAGCTATATCCACTGATAGCCATGGCAACGCTGTGCTGCTGCACGATGTCATTCCTGAGAACAGAATCTCCAACAACAATTATGACAGTTTCTACAGGAGACTTTGCTTTACAGTCTGGATTATAAAAGTTGAAGAGCCGAGTCACTAGCGTGCATTCCCCTCAAAATGGCCATTCAAAATGAAGATGGATTTAAAGTCCAAGCTAAAGACGAACTTGTGGACTCTAGTACCTAAAATGCAATACGCCTTCAGCATATTGCTTATTGTTCTTGTCAACATATACAAATGGACTAGGATAATTTTTCTTCAGGGCATTATCATGGATAGTTACAGGGCTCAAAATGGAAGGCTGTAAGTACTGGGGTTTTTTTTTTTGCCTATCTCAGAGGTTTGTTAATCACCTAGTATTTTAAATAGTCAATACTAAAATGTAGTACATGCATTTTACTTATTTGTTCATAGACTCATAGTTTTGATTACTGTGAGGTGTTTTTCATAGTGTTTTCATCTCTATGATCTCATTTGACCCTTATGATAATCGAATGAAATACCTGCTGTTGTTAATGTCTGTTTTATAGATGAGGCATATCCAGAGCTATGGGTGGAGTTTTTGTGTTTATATGTGATATGTGTTCACAGGTGTGTGATTTCACATTTGAGAGGTTGTGTGAGCATGTGGACATATGTACATTGAGGTCTTGTTTTAGGCAGAGTCTCTTGCTGAACCCAGATTTTGCTGGTTCTGCTAGTTTAGTTAGCCAGTTTGCCCAGAGATCGCACCTCTGTCTCCTTAGTGCTGGCATTAGATGTTGCTGCCACTACCGGCTTTCTGATGGGGTCTGGTTATTTGAACACTTCCTCCCAGCACCATGAATGGCAGTTTTGGAAGTGTCTGGCTCTGTGATTTCACAATAAATCCAAAAGGGTTACTTAGGCTTTTGTCATCCCAGTCTATTCAGGTCAGCCAAGAAAGAGGCCTAGTGTGCTTTTCTGAAGTGTTAAGCATGACGGTTTACTTGGACTTTACCTGGTCCCCCTCTACTGTGCACTCTGGTGTTCAAAGACCTGGGGCACATGAGACTGGTGAGGTAACAGTTATGGTAAGCATGCTCCTAATGAGATATGGTTGTCTGTCTTCTCATCTGAGGCATACGCTTTCTCTCACCTGGAAATTCTTTTGTAGATTTTACAAAAGATTTTTCTTATGTTCTGTTTTTTGTGTGGGTTTGTGCACATGAGTGCAGTGCCCATGTTGGCCAGAAGAGGGCATCCAATTCAATGAAGTTGGAGTTAAAAGGCATCTCTAAGACACCCAGTGTGGCTCCTGGGATCCAAATTCAGGTCCTCTGCGGTACACACTCTTAACCACTGAGCCATCTCTCCAACCCCTACCTGGACATCGTACTATTGTATTTTCAGAGTTTGGCCAGATTTTAAAAACCTACTAGAAGACCACAACCTAAGTAACCTCCAGGGATACAAGAGACTTAGGTTTGCTCTTTAATGACACATTCTCACTATACAAGTCTTCCTGTATACAAAGTGCATGGGTTTAGAGAGGTACTTCTTCACATTAAGTCACAAAATGTTGGGTTTAAATGTCCTCCAAAGCCTATGAATTAAAAGCTGGTTCTTGACCTATAGCATTATTGAGAGGTGGTGGAACATTTAGTAGATGAGGTCTCAGGGACAGAAATTAGGCTTTTAGAACCATGCTCCTTCACCTTCTTGTTTCCTGGTCACCACGAGGTTCACCTTCATTATAGCATGAATCAGTATACTTCTTCCCTGTTGTCCTCATTGCCCAACAGGAGGGCATTCTCGTTCTTTTCATTCCTCTGTATTTTATCACTTTCTACCAGGTTAGCTTCCCTTTTTCATTTCTTTCTTTCCTTTTCCTCTTTTTTTACATACTGGGATGGATGCTTGACACTTATCTTTTGGTCTGGCATCACTGTTAAACATTTCCTTCATCTAAGCTGCAGTTTAACTGCCTGCCCCAAGTTTTGATCATTTGAGCAAGGAGTGGGCTTTTGAAACCTCAAAGCCTGGCCCTGGTGACAAACCTCTGACAAGACCACACTCCTAATCCTTCCCAAAACTGTTCTAACAGGGACCAAGCACTCAAATATAAAAGCCTATGGGGGTCATTCTTATTCAAACCACCATACAACCATCTTCTCTATGCATCCAACATGGAGCTGCTCCTTCTGTGGGGGCCAGTGAAGTCAATTCCAGAAGAAAAGTCATCTTAGAGGCCAGAGAAGAACAACACAGCAACTGAACTGAAACCCAAGAGTTCCATGAGTGGCAGAGTTCTAGCACTGTCCCTGGGTAGTCCAGTCCCATTGTGGTCTGTTCCATTTTTAAGACAGACTCTCATAAAGTTCAGGCTTTTCCTGAACTGACTATGAAGACGAAGATGATCTTGAACTTCTGATATTCTTGACTATACCTATTAAGTGGAATTGCAGGCATGTCTGGCCCTGCTTGACCTAGGCTGGATTTTATTTCACATACATGAAGGAGGAAGATAAGTGCAGGAATGTTTCATAAGCACTAGTGACCAAGACCAATTTAAAAATGTATGTTTTTATAGTCCTTCATAGTCTCTGTAGTCTCTGGCTCTTGGCTGTTTTCTAGAACTCTTCAGTCACCTCTTGGCTTCTGAGTGAGACAAGGGCTCATAGCTCCAGGATTCTGGGCTTATAGCATCAGCAATCACTCTCTGGCTGCTACAGCTGCAGTAGCAGCTGGGTGTTACCAGCTCCCCCTGCTGCATCTGTGATAAAGGCCACAAGTAGACAATAAACAAACCATCTGAGGGAAGCATTTATTAGACTTGATGCTGCTAAGCAAGGGAAAGTCCACCAGAGAAACCTCCAGGGTTAAGCTGACAAAACTGAGGAAATGCCTGGTGATATCGGTAGAAAAGGTCCATGACACAATCATGCCGGAATTATAATCCACCAACCACAGTATTGCATATGTAAAGCTCTCATTCTACCACTCATGAGCTTTACATATGCAAAGGCCACAGGACTTATTTAGGAACCCATTAAAAACTTCATGTTATACTGATGGGGGAAGTCCTGTGTATATGTCAATAAAGCACTGTTGGCCAATAGGGAAGCAAGATAGGTGGGACTAGGAGTCGAGGAGGACTCTGGGTAGGAGAAACACAGGAAGTCAAGATGTAGCTGCCATAGGGATAAGAGGCCTGGAAACTTCTCCGGTAAGAGAAATACTTAGATTAACAATTATGGGATTGATACTTAAGTCAGAGCTAGCCAGTAAGAAACAAGCAAGGCCAACAGCTTCATAATTAATATAGCCTCCTTTGTGTTTATTTGGGACTGATGCGGCTCTGGAACTAGGCTGGTGGGAAAGCTTCTCTCTTTACATTATACCAATACAGGGGGTTCCCTGCACTGAGCTAAACAACTGCAGGGTGACATATTCTTGCACTGAGGAGGAATGGAGTCTTCCGAATCCCTGCAAGTGCCCAGAGAAGTTGTAATCAGAGAGTAAAGTCCCCTGAACCAGGAGTAGTGAGTTTCCCCAAAGTACCTATGCTTGCAGGGTGTCTGACAGCTGGAATGGGGTTTCCATGGAGGGATATGGCTGTTCAAAGTAGCTGGACTGCCTTGAGTGTGGTCTGGCTGTTGCCAAAGGGACAACTTCAAGGAAGACAGGTATAAGGGAAGGATCTAACAACTGTAATCCCAGGGGACTGATGGTCCCCTCCCAGCAGTTTGCTCATCCCAAGAAAACAACAAGAAGCAAACTTTAAAGGAAGAAATTAACATTCTCTGTAGTAATGTTCGACAATGTTTAAGCTGGACATGGTGACTCATGCCTGTAATAAGGAGAGTTAAAAGGCTGAGACAGGAGGATTGTCACTAGCTCCAGGTCAGCCTGAGCTACATTGGGAGTTCCAGAGCAGCCTGGGATATAGTGTGAGACTGTGCCTCAAAACAACAATAACAACAAAGCAAGCAAACAATAGAAAAATAAAACAATAACTAACCCCTAACCATGTGCCCTTAGGAAGTGTTGGGCCCTTCTGATTATTTACACATTAGAATCAACTACATCATCAGTTAACATTATAAAACACAAACTCATGCCCTAAGCTCCTCAGTAGGCCTGACTCCCCAGAGATAAGATTCAAGAATCTTCCTGTATTCCTAACAAGATCCCGAAAATGTTTTGTTTTGTTATTTTCACGTATATTGAACAAGGGTCTCATTCCCATCCCAGGCTGGTCTAGAATTCCCTATGGAGCTAAAGAAGCTGGTTCTAAGTTCCCGATCCTCCTAGCCACCCCTCCCAAGTGCAGTGATTACAGGCACAGGCCATCACAGGTAGCTTCAAAATAGCTCTTTCGACAAGGGTCTTATGTAGCTCAGACTGGGCTTGAATTTCTGAGTCACTTGCCTCTACTTCCCTGGAGAGCTGGACTACAGATGTACTTCACCCTGCCTAATTCTCAAAGCAATTCTGAGGCAGCCATCTAAAAGGAGCCAAATACCGCCGTCCCATCCCCCTTTTCTGTTTTACCTGATTTGAATTCCACTTTGTCAAACATACATACACATCTAGCCTTCAAAACACAAAAGGGACCAAAGGAGAGGCAGAAGGCAATAGTGGAGGGAAAAGAGTCACAAACCCTGGGGGCATAATGCAAATTAGCTCTCTGAAGCTACACTGCAGCACTGACTACAGGGGCCTGTTGCGTCTTTCCTCCTTCTTCCCTCCCAGCTCCCTTCTCCCTCCCTCCCCCCCCTCCGCTTGGGTTAGGAACCACCCCCACACGCCACTGATTGGCTCTGCCGGTGTGTTTGTCACACTCTTTTGTGTCGGTAGGCAGCTGATAAAAGCACTGCGGCTGCCCTGGGAACTGCGCTGCTTGAATCCAGTTACCTCCGGGTAGGTGGCTGGGTGAAGCAGCCTTTTCTGGCAGCCTCGGGTCGCCTAGCGGCTCCGGAGGCGCCAGCCCTTTTCTCCTGCAGGGCGACCCGACTGAAAGGTGGAATCTGTAGCTGAAGACGTCGCAACAACTGCTGGCTATCAGAGGATCGCAGGTTAAAAAAATGGGGGGGGGGGACGATTCCTTGGTGCGGAGAGGGGGAGAAGGGGGGAAGGGGGAAGCCCGCGGGTACTAGGCAGCTCCTGCCTGGGAGAATCTGCAATTGTGAAGCTGGGGAAGAAGCATTTGCATGGCCTGACTGCATTGGAATTCACCTGGAAGATGACATTGGTAGGATTTGCCTGTCCAGGGAGGGGGTTGGGGAAGAGGCTACCGGGAGGATGTGGGATAAGGAATTATGTTTTCCTCGAACCCCCAATGCATCTCCTCTAATTTCCTTGGGCACTGTGGGGGTGGGTGTGTCCAATTCATATTCCTTTTCTCAGCAGCAGCTCATCAAAGCGGAAATCTGAACTTGAAATTGGAGGTAGCTGATTGTTAGAGCTGGGTAGGCTGATGGTCTCGGGGTGCAGTGTGTGACTGGGGGGTATCGTTTGGTTTGTATTCAGAAGGTGAGAGAGGGAATTTTCTGCCTGGTGACAGCAGAGGGGGGCGGGAGAAGAGAGGGAGTGGGGAGGGAGTGTCGGGATGACGATGAAGATGGAGTCTGTTTCTGACCCTTCCCTTCCCTCTGATGTGGCGCAGTCTTGAAATCCTGAGCACCTACGACCCCCCCCCCCCGTGGACCACTGAGATTGAGATCTACTGTACTCTGGAGCCGAGCTTTCTCACCGGAGGACACAGGTTGCAGAGGCTGGAAATAAAAACCTCACTCCAGTTTCCTCGCTAGTGTAAGAATCTGAGAAATGACAGGATGAAGGGCAAGGGTGGTGGTCTGGGAGCTTTGAGAGGGGCAGCGAGGTTGAGACCACACCGTTAAATCCAGAACGAAGCAACAGTTGCCCTCCCTCACAGGACTGGCGGGAGGGCATGGATGACGTGGTTGTAAAAAGCACTGCTAGTACAGACATCAGCTAGCTCCAGGAGGCTGTAATGGGTTTCCTTCCAGTATTTTTCAGGACAGTGGACAGATATATGGGCTATTGAGCTAAGATAATTACAACCGTGGCCTGTTCCTTTACTAATCCCCCCTCCCGTTTTATTTTTTGCAGCCCCTACTGAGATTGGAGACTGCTGCGTGACTGAAGATAAAGCGTTTTTTTTCCTGAAACGCCCTGGGCATCTTGTATTAAGATATCCTATCGCCATTGTCAGGCATGGCTAGCATCTTTGCACGCATGGGTAACGGCCGGGGGCAGAACTCACCCTTGCCACCTTGGGCTCATTCCATGCTGAGGTCCCTGGGGAGGAGTCTCGGTCCTTTAATGGCCAACATGGCAGATAGAAACATGAGGTTGTTCTCTGGGCGGGCAGAGCCAGCCCCGGGGGAAGAAACCTTTGAAAACTGGCTGAGCCAGGTCACTGGGGTCCTGCCTGAATGGCATATGCCTGAGGAGGAAAAGGTCAGACGCCTAATGAAAACCCTTAGGGGCCCTGCCCGGGAGGTCATGCGTTTGCTCCATGCTGCCAATCCCACCCTAAATGTGGCCGATTTTTTGCGGGCAATGAAACTGGTCTTTGGGGAGTCTGAGAGCAGTGTGACAGCCCATAATAAATTTTTTAACACTGTGCAGACACACGGAGAGAGACCATCCCTGTATGTGATCCGTTTAGAGGTGCAGCTGCAGAATGCTATCCAGGCAGGGGCGTTTGCTGAGAGAGAGGCAAACAAGGCTCGCCTGCACCAACTCCTTGTAGGGGCTGAGCTCAGTAGAGACCTTCGTTTCAGGCTTAAGGAGCTTCTCAGGATGTTCGCAAATGAGCCAGAGCGCCTTCCCGATTTCCTGGAGTTAATCAGGATGATTAGGGAGGAGGAGGAGTGGGATGACACTTTCATTAGACCGAAGCGGCCCAGATGTGAGTCAGTGATGGAGCGGGCACTCAGTCCTGTGGCATTTCAGGGCACCCCACCGATTTTGATCAGCAGTGCTGACTGCAACGTGATAGAGATAGATGACTCTCCAGATGATTCAGATGAGGACGTGATCTTGGTGGAGGCTGAGGACCCACCACTGCCATCCTCGAGTGCTCCTCACTTCCTAGGCAGGGCTATATCTGAGGACCAAGTGCTGGTCATTGAGTCCCCCAACATTCCTGAGATTCAGTCTCCTTCCACCAGCAGTGGCTCTGGGCGGAAGAACAATACTTTTGTGGAGGTGCGTAGAACCAGGAAGCGAAAGCACACAGTCAACTGTGTCCATTGTGGTGAGGACGGTCACTCCAAAGAAACCTGTGACAATGAGAATGACAAAGCTCAGGTTTTTGAGAATCTGATCATCACCCTGCAGGAGCTGACACACACAGAGGAGGAGAGGGCGAGAGAGGCCTTTGGAGAGCCCTTTGGCTTCTCCGAGTTCCAGTAAGATGCTATCCTCCAGCCTCAAATTAACCCTTACCTTTACTCAGAATTCAATGGTGGAAAAGTTGGGGGGGTCTTCTAATTGCATGAAAAATCCACAAAGTGACTTTCCTTTGGCGTGGAGAAAGGGTCTTGAACATGAGTGCATCAGAGAGAAATGGCCTGACCTATGGCTCTGTTCCCTTTCCCCATGCCTGATTCTGCTCTCCGTGTGCACCTATCTCCTTGGTGGCTTTATTCTCTTTGTGAAAGTGGTATTGTTCACTGTTCAATCTTCAAGTCAGAAAGAAAATGACTTTAAAAAGTAAAACTTACCTAGAACTCTCTACCCCGTGTAACAATTGTCAGCCCTTTGGTGACTATCCCTCTAAATATTTCTCTGTACCCTATGTTCCTAGATAGATATGTGTATAGACAGAAGTGATCAAATATAAGTGTTGTTCTATATGCTGTATTTTTTCACCAAAATGTATGTTGTGGCCTTCTTTGTCAATAAATAAATATATATGTGTCAGCATCTATTTTAATGCCTCTGTGCTATTACTTGAGGAAGCAAAAGGAAAAGAAAAAATATGGTGAGAAGGTATAAAGGGGTGGAATTACACTCTGAAATGTTTTGTTTTTAATAAATTTTGAATTGCAGGTGAGAAAAAAGTCAGACCTGGTGTCCTAATTCTATAATCCCAGGTGCCTGGGAGACTGAAGCAGGAGGATCTTGAGTTCAAGGTTTGCTTGAGCAACAGAGTGAGCTCAAAGCCAGACTGGGAAAGTTACTTAGATCTGACTTAAAATTAAAATAAAAGAATTGGGGCTTTAGCTCAATGACAGAGCACTTGTTGAATGTACATAAAGCTTCAGGCTCAATCCCCAACACACACACACACACACACACACACACACACACACAGACACGCACACACACAGACAAACACACATGCATGTCCCCCACATACACTCACATACACACACACACACACTCACACATGAAAAGAAAAAGAATTAAATAAATACAGAAAGCACTTGTTTAGCACATAAAGCTCTAGGCTTAATCCCCCCTCTCTGTCACACACACGCACAGAGAAAAAGAAATAAATACAGAGAGCACCTGTTTAGCACATAAAGCTCTAGGCTTAATCCCCCCTCTCTGTCACACACACGCACAGAGAAAAAGAAATAAATACAGAGAGCACCTGTTTAGCACACATAAAGCTCAAGACTTAATCCCCCCACCCCCGCCACACACACAAGAAAAAGAAATAGACTGGATAAATCTCCCAAAGCAAAAGATCACTTTGCCACAGCTAACTGCTTCCCTGCCCTGTAGAGCCAAATCGTAGCCTAGAATGACTGGCGGATCTCCATTGCTGTCTTCTCTGCTGGAGGAGAAATCCAGCGCTGAGGTAGGAGTCTAACATGGGAATTGCAGTGATTCAATTCCTGCTCATGCTTGGGAGCACATTTCCTTCTCTTGATAGCATCTTTATATTTCTGCTGCTGCTGCTGCTGCTGCTGCTGCTGCTGCTGGGCGTCCTGCTCTCTTCTCTGGGCTGATGCTACCCTCTGCTGCCTCCCTGATTAAGGAAAAAAGAAAGCATTTGCTGTTAGCTTAGCATCAGCAGGCTCTGCTTCTGACAGTGGTCTAATCCTCATCCTACAGGACATAGGAGCCCAAGGACCCCAACCCCAATTCAATGTGAGATCCCTTCCAATCCAATCCATTCACACAGAGGCAAAGGACAGCAATCTGCTTGTAAGGGAAAGGCAGTGTGGAGAGAGTGAAATGGAGTCATACAGTTGAGACCCTGAGAGGTTTATCATGTAGGAAATAGGGCCTCACAGAACCAAGAGAGTAAGATTACTTGGCATTGGGAGTCAGTGTGTCAGGAGAGAAGCACAGTGCTTTATAGGTCATGGGGCAGGGATGAGGGAAGGAGGGCTAGTTAGACTCACATGGTGGTTGACAGGGACAGAAATCCTGGTAGGAATAGCAGAAATAGGGTTCCAAGCAGAAACCTGGCCTTTTCTGAGTGACTCGGATTTGCCCGAGGCAGGTATTAGAGGTGTTATTTTGCTAGCTTTGATGATCCACTTAGAAGTGGCAAGAGGGCCCAGGTTGAGACCTGGAGGAGGCAGCAGGCACCAAAGCTACCTACAAGAGGTTTTGTCCAGACCTCAAGTATTTCCTTTTTCTAGAACAGTCACTCAGCTCCTTCTTACCCTTACTCTTGCTCCATTCCATGACCCTACACTCTGTCCTTACAATCACCACCACCTCTGTCCCCTGGGGTCACGTTCCCCATTATTCCTTTATTTTTTTTTAACTTCAGCCTCCAGACCCTCATGGCCAGAGGGAAATTGGGAGGGATCTCTGCTGCTTCTCATCCTTGAACAAAGACACAGGAGGGACAGCCTTTGCATCCCTCCAAAGTACCCACGAGCCCCTGGCAGCCACTGTGCTCTCCAGAGCCAGGGAGGTGACTTCCTGTGCTCCTAGAAGGAAGCCACTAGAACTTCCAATATCATCAGTCTGCACAAGTTGTACCTTTTTGCCCACCTGCCCCTTTAGACACTTGCTGTATTAGTTACTCTCCTCAATGCTGTGACAAGGCACTTGGCCACAGGAAGGGTTTGTTTTGGCTCACAGTTTGGCAGTGCAGTCCATGATGGTGGCGAACAGAATGCAAGACACAGGAGTGTGAGGTAATTGGTCCACACTGCACCTTCAGTCAGGAAGTAGAGAGAGGCGATGGCTGATGTGCCTCTGTTTTTTTTTTTTTTGTTATTGTTGTTGTTGTTTTGTTTTTAAATTGGGACTTCAGCCCGTGGGATGGATGGTGCAGGATGGGTCTTCCCTCTGAAGCTGAACTTTTTTGGAAACCCAGTCTGAGACATCCCTAGAAACGTGTTTCCATTTTGATTCTAAATCCAGTCATGTTGACAATGAAGATGAAGCGTCACGCCATCCCTTGTTGAATACCTGACCCCAGTTAAAAAGAAAAGTTCCATGTTCCAGATTAACTTTGCTCAACTCCACTCTTCAGACACTTGTTGAATAATTGGTCCAAAGACATAGATTATGTTGCCAGCATTGTTTTCTGGCCACAGGCAGGGTAGAAACAGAAATGAAAAGAAACAAGTCCTGGCTGTTCGTGACCTTCTTCACTGGAGCTAGAGCAATGCTTAGAAAATCTATTCTAGGATCTTTTGGCCTTCTCATGCCCCTCCCCAGCCTCTGTTATGCACATTCAAAACTGTATTCTTTTAATTTGCTAATCTGAAATCTTTTCTTTCTTTCTTTCTTTCTTCCTTCCTTCCTTTCTTTCTTCCTTCCTTCCTTTCTCCGCTCCTTCCTTTCTTTTTCCCTTCCTTCCTGCCTTTCTTCTTTTCTTCCTTCTTTTCTCTCTTTCTTACTTCATTTTATGAGACAGCATCCTTTTCTTTATGCAAGAAAAAAATCCATTTTTTCTCAGATTGGGTACCTGGGTGTTCAGATCAGCCCCTGAGACTGCTAAACAAAGGTGAGGGAGGGTGTTTGGGCTGTAATACCCTTCCTTTCAAGCTATGGGCTTATTGTCTCTGTTCTGCCTCCACCCTTTCTGGTCACTACTGGCTGAAAATGGCTTTTTGTTTTGTCGTAAGTACCTGGCATCTAAGTGGCCCTTGGTTTCCATGACACCTTTCTTTCATGGCTCCCTCCTCTCTGGCTTTTTTAGTAGTCTCTTCTCTGTTTCTTTTGTACCTTCTTCCTCTTCCTGGCCTTTGCGTAATCATAATAAAATTGAATAAATATTACCACTGAGATTTCTAAGAGTTGTTTGCCGAGGCAAAGCAGTTTGAAGCCCTTTAACTACATCAGTTCAGTTAACCATCACACGAATCTTATAAAATAGGCAAGGCCATGATCTTATGTCTCTAGTGAGGAAACAGACTGAACATCTTTGACACTCACTTGGAACTGTGTGCCTGGAAGCTGGGCAACTTGGGGGTCACAGGGGTCACCTAAGGCAATTGGAACACATAGATATTTACATTACAATTCATAACAGTAGCAAAATTACAGTTATGAAGTAGCAATGAAAATGACTTTATTGATGGAGGTCACAACAATCTGAGGAACTGAAATAAACAGTTGCAGCATTAGGAACGTTGAGAACTGTACTGACTAGTTTTGCATGTCAACTTGATACAAGCTAGAGTCGTCAGAGGAAGGAGCCTCAGTTGAGGAACTACCTCTATGAGATCCAGCTGTAAGGCATTTTCTCAATTAGTGATCAATGGGGAATGACACAGCCCATGGTGGGTGGTGCCATCCCTGAGATGCTGGTCCTGGCTTCTGTAAGAAAGAAGGCTGAGCACGCAATGGGAAGCAAGTCAATAAGTAGCATCCCTGCATGGCCTCTGCATCACCTCCTGCCTCCAGGTGCTGCCTGATTTGAGTCCCTGACCTGACTTCCTTCAGTGATGAACAGCAATGCTGAAGTGTAAACCTATTAAATCCTTTCCTCTCCAAGTTGCCTTTTAGTCTTAGTGTTTTGTCACAGCAATAGAAACCCTAACTAAGACAATAACCACTGCTCTATAATGACTGACTCCAAAGCCTGAACCCCTTCCCTGACTCATGGGTTCGCAAACAAGGAAATGAAGATTGTAAGTCCATAAGACCCGCTGTTAGATGTGCTTTGGATATGAAATTAACACGGGGCTAGGCTAACCCACTGTAGGCTCTTGAGAAACGACAACCACTGGGCTAAAATGTATTGCTTAATCTGCTATGAAAGAAGAAATGAAATGTCCCTGCTATTCATGCTGTGCTTACTTAATATTCATTTGAGGATGTAACAGTCAGGCTCCTACACTGAGCTTGACCCCTGGCCATCATAATAGTCTGTTCAGAATGCATCAGGTTTCTTGACAATGATAGGAGGATAAGATAGTATTTATTGAATGCTACAGCAGATTTCCAGGGCCAGACCAACACTAGCCCCACTCCATGCATGGCAGGGGGTGTGTTTTTTGCATCCCAGGTGGGGGTGAGGAGATTTCTCCTTTTCTTACATGTTAAAGGCTTCCCATGACTTTAAAAAGTCTAAAGACTGCTCAGAGCCATGGAAGCCATTATCCTCAGCAATGTGATGGGGGCAGTGGGCACTGATCTTAGAGTGACACAGAAATTTCCCAGTGTGTGACAGGAAGGAGGCATGATTGATGTCTGAGGACTCCTTCCTATTCAGTTAAGTATGTGTTGTCACAACCAGAGATCACAGGGACAGGATAAGAAGGTGCAAAATCCTAGCTAGCCAGGGCTAAAATATTTTGCAGGCATGCATGGCTTGATGAAGTGCAAAGAGTCCTTCTCCTTTAGGATTTAACTAAGGACGCATCAAGGAGTAGAAAAGAGTAGGAAAGCAGTCATCTGCACACTGTGAGAATTATGTTAGTGTTTACATTTATAAACACCCGCCTTGGAATGATGGCGTCCTTGTAGGTTACAGCATACTAGGCGTTCATAGTATGCCAGTGTTGTCCTTTTCTGTTTTATTGAAAACTTTGGTAGAACAAATGAACTGTACCTTGCATATCATCCACAGGGGTGGGATTTGCCCCTTGCTCGTTGTTGCAAGGGGTGAATTAGCCAGAGCAGTTCAGGGGAGCTCACCCTGGTGTCACCCTGGTGAGGATGGGGGAGAGCTGATGGGCTGACCAACTTATGTTGTGATGGTTTTTAGAACAAATGAAAAAATAACTTGGCAGAAAGAAGTACAAGGTTAATGTTCAGGGAAATATAGAAGCATATCAACAAAATTGCAAGAAATAAACTTATTTGTAGACACACATTGTGCATAAATTATATTTTGGTTTTCTTAGAAAAAGCAAGAGAACTGGTAGAAACACCTCTGAAAGTACAAGAATAAGGGACATAAAGACAAATTCTGAATGACTTGGGAAAAGAAAATAATAAAAAACTTTTTGAAATGTACACAGATGATTGCCAGGAACAGAAAAAAAAACCCAGCTTAATTGGAAGCTGTGGGTGTGGAAGCCAGAAGAGAGAGGATAACATCAGTATGGAATCTCCAGGGCACTAGTTGCCTCACAATGACTGTTTGGGGATCCCTTACCCCCTTATGCTTGCCATTATATGCAGGAGCTAAGGGACCGAAGCACAGCATGGTCGGAGTCCTGGAGCAGGTGAGCCACTGGTACAGTGGAACACAGAAGTCTGGAAACCAGGGAGTCTCAATTTCCATATGTGGGCTATAGCACAGTAGTTGCTGTCATTAGCAACTGGGAGCTGCAAGAAAGAGATCTGAGCTCAAACCATAGTGAAGCACACAGACTGTCTCTGTGGGAGAGAACCCCAAGTAGGAACGTCAAGAGGCCTGACAGAAGAGCGAGGTTCAGAGCACACATGTTTTCAGGAACGTCACTACTCACAAAAATCCAACCAAATGCTGTATTTTCCCCAGAGAGGAACTGGGATCTAGGTTCAAAATGGCTTTATTGTGGACTCTGCTGGGTTCAGCTGCTTGCCTAGTTCTGATAAGCTCAGGCTAGACTCAGGAAGGCTTCGCTGAACTGGGCTGAGCTCACCAGGAATCAGTAGGACTAGGTTAGACTTGGTAGGATTTGGCTAGGCTCCTTTATGACTCCACTTGTTTTGAAGGAAAGCTCTTCTGTTTGGCTAGAATCGGCTTGGCTCAGCTAGGCTTGGCAAAATTCGCCTGGCCTTGACTCAGCTTGTCTGAGACATGTTTGCCTGGTCTCGGCAAAGCTCAGCTAGCTTACTTTGGACTCAGTTGGATTTGGCTTGGCTGGCCTGAGAATTAGCTGCGTTCAGCTAAACTAGGTTAGGTTCAGTTATGCTCAGCAAAGTTCTACTTGGTTTGACTGAGTGACTCCATTGGGTTTGGCTTTGCTTGGCGGGACTGTGTTGCCTAGGCTGCATTAGAAAGAGATGGGATGGATAGGTTCAGTTATCACTGGCAAAGCACTGTGTGGCTTGACTAGGCTTGCCTCATCTGGGTTCGGCTGAGCTCAGACAGGTTCTGCTATAGTGGATTGGACTCGGCCATTATGGACTAAACTAGTCTAGGATCGGTGTGCTCAGCTCAACCCCTTCTGCTTGGCTGTGGCGATGGCACCTGACCAGCGTATCATGGAATAAGATATGAGAGTTCCGAGAGCTGTGACGAGAGAGTGGCCAGGTACCGTCCAGCTGACTCAGGTGGCTTTTTGTCCTCCACTGTAGGTCTTTGTAAAACTCTGTGATGGCTGGAGGGTAACACTGCCATGGGGAAAGCGACAAAAGTCCCACGAGTGACTTCATGACTTTTCGGGCACCAGGAAGGAGACACCTACCCTAGAGATTGTGGTAGCTTTTACCCTTCCTGTAAGACAAAGGACATCTCTCCCCCCCCCTCTCTCTCCGCCCCCTTAGGTCAGAGAGCTGTGCTTGCTTCTTTTGGTGCCTCTCCATTGCTCTCAAAGCGCAGGGCTTTTTATCTCTTGGCTGATCTGGCAGCGTGAAGGTCTCAACATTTCCAGGGACATGCCACAATAGAACAAGATACCTAGTTCTGAATAGAGCTTGAGGGTTTCCCAAACTAATTGCCTGGATGGGGCCTTTGGAGAGCTGCAGACATGTACTGGAAATAATCCTGACCACACACTGGGGCAAACCAAATGGAAACACATAAATGGTATAACCGAAGACATCAGACAATTTCACAGAGAGAAATGGTGACTTTGACATTTTCTAAGCACAACTTCCAAGTCTCGTCCAATAAAAATGCTGCAGAGACTGAGTTCAACACACCTCTTCATGGGGGGGGGTCTTCATGGGGAGAAACGTTAGAGATAAACTGAATAGTGAACTGGATAGAGACTTGCTTCCCCAGTGTTTGCATCACAGCATATGATAAAATTGCATATATGTATAATTACGGTTATTTTAAGTAAATGTATGGAGTTGTGCATTTACCAATACTATCTAGTTTTTAAGATATTTATGCCACATCGACTCTGAAATTCTCTTAAAATTATTTGCAATTAATCTTCCCCGTCACCTTGCCAGCCTCCTGTTTCTATGTAGGTGATTTTTCTGATATTTCATATGAGCAAACTGATAAAATATGTAATCTTTTGTGATGGGCTTCTGTCACCTACCATGGTATTTTCAAGGTTCATTCATATTATGATATCATCAATTGTCTGTTCCTTTTTCTGGCAGAGTAATATTCAACTGTGTGGAACACACTGAATTTGGTTTTTTTTTCCATTCATCAGTTGAAAGACATCTGAACTGTATCACTTTTTGTTTATTATGGGATGTGTGAGCATTGATGTAGAAGTTTTTGTTTGAACATAATATGTTTTATCTCTCGTGGGTATGCACCTAGGAATGGGATTGCTGTCTCATATAGGAGCTATATGCTAAGCTCTTTTGAGAACTTCCAGACTGTTTACTCACATGACTCCACTGTTTTCTGTTCTCATGAGTAAATGGACGTACATTCTAATTTCTCTTCATCCTCACCAATACATTTCGCCTGTCTTTTACTTGATATTTCAATGGGATATTTATTTGTCTAGACTACTTTTGGTCATTTGGTTTGTCAAGTTGCACTCCATTTTTTTTTTTTGGTTTTTCGAGACAGGTTTTCTCTGTATTGTTTTGGAGGCTGTCCTGGAACTCGCTCTGTAGACCAGGCTGGCCTCGAACTCACAGAGATCTGCCTGCTTCTGCCTCCCCAGTGCTGGGATTAAAGGCGTGTGCAACCAATGCCCGGCACTGCAGTCCATTTTCATGAATGCCCTTTTCAATGTTATACAAATTAGGAGCTGAAACTGTCCCAGGTTGCAAGGAGTACATGGTTGCACCAGGGAGACAGAAACAAGGACAGTAGTTTGGTAAGTGCTCTGATAGAGCTAACTAAGCATGGATGGTGTGGGAAGCAGACAACCCAGCTTGGGAGGCCATAGGGAAGGCAGTAGAAAGGGTCTTAATCTGACTCTGATTTTTAAATGCATTTTAATTAAAAGTATTCAAATATTCAAACATTCAAACCCCCTCTTTTGAGACAGGGTCTTGCTATGTAGCCCAGGATAGTCCTACTTAAACTTGTGATCTTTCTGACCCAGCCTCCAGAGTGTTATATTCGGTACAGCCATACATATTAAGTTCGATAGCTCTATGACATTTGCCTTTTCGTTAATTTGAAAGAATCTCTTTTTATTCTCTTGAACATCTGCTGCGACCTTTGTAGTAACTATATTCCCAACAGCAATGTGCACAGGCATGTTTACATTTATTGCTGCACTATTCACAGTAGCCAGGAGAGAAAACCAGTCTAGATGCCAATCAACAGGTGGATGAAGACTGTGTGTGTGTGTGTGTGTGTGTGTGTGTGTGTGTGTGTGTTGAAAGTAGAAAGGGGATCAATGAAATAGAAAAAATCTCAAGGGAGGAAGGAGAAAAAGAGAGTAATAAAATACAAATGACAGGAAAATAGATAGGAGGGCTATTTGTACCAAGGAATGGGGGCAAAAAAGGGGTTGGGCAGGGCAGTGAAGGAGAGAGACAAATAAAGCAACATGTAATGACACACATGTGTAAAATGCCATAACAAAGCCTATTACTTATTTATGGGCTTAATTAAACCATTAAGGGTATTTTTTAGAATGATTCTCTACATGTTATCTGTGCCACTTTCTTTGAATATTTACCCTTCTATATTTAAATGCCACATTTTTATTCAGGACATGAAAAATTTGAATCCTGACATAGGCTAATTTCCATTTTCCTTTTTTATTTTCTGTGTCTGGGTGTTTTGTCTGCATGTGTCTGTGCACTAAGTGCATATAGTGCCTGCAGAGGCCAGAAAAGGGCGTCAGATCCTCTGAAACTGAAGTAACAGACAGTTGTAAACAACCATGCGCGTATTGGGAACTGAACCCTGGTCCTCTGTAAGAGCAGCCAGTGCTCTTTACCACTGAGCCAGCTCTCCAGCTGCTAATCTCCATTTTCACATACACTGATTCTTAGATTGGTTGGCTCCATTGAATATAATCACAATTACTGATAAAAATCCCTTGTCACAATGCAGTTTACCTTCTGGCAGTTGAAATGAGCCCTACACAACAGCTATGTAGCAAGTACCTGAAATAAGACAGTGGTATTTTAAAGGATGTGCTGAGGGACTGTTTTTCACAGGTACTGTGATGCTGTGTAGCTTCAGGAAGTCAGCATACCAAAATGCAAATGTTCATTAAGAAGAATGCTATTTCCACCCAAAGTTCTAGAGTGGAAGCAGGGCCACAAAAGCAGTATTATAGTACAGGAATTAACAGGCTGTAAAGTGTGAGCAAAGAGGGCTTTTTTCAAAGGCTTGTTTTACTGCCATTTTGCTAATAGGAAGCAAAAGCTTTCAGTTGCAGTGTAACAATATATTGAATTGATTGCATTGGTTTCTATAGTAGACCTTCTGAATCGTGAAACCTTAGAGAAATGAATTGAAATCTATGTAGTAATTTTATACAGTAATATATTATATGTAGCTTTCTCATACTGCTTTATATTATGTAATATATATAAACGATGTTTGGATTTTGATTTAAAATCTGTGGAAAGTTTTTTTCCCAATGTCTCCATCCCCATATTATGTTAGTGCTTCTGCCTTTTGGCCTCTAAATGCTAAGCCACTGTCTGGCTTTCCCAGAAATATTTATTGACTTTTACTTAATAGAATGAAAGGAACAATGGAAAGCAACTGCTATATTTTACTTTTATTACTTGTAAAATGGAGATAAGAGATGTAGGAGATTATGGGTCAACACAATAAATTCTAGGATGAACCTATAATACCCTGGGTGTTTTTTCTATTTATTTATTTGTTTGTTTATTTTTGGTAGAGTATTTCTGTGTAGCCCTGGCTGGCCTAGAACCCACTATGTAGAACAGGTTGGCCTCAAACTCACAGAGATCCACCCAACTCTGCTTCCCAAGTTCTGGGATTAAAGGAATGTGCTACCACCACCTGACCAATTTATTTTAAAATTGTGTGTATGTGCATGTGAGTGTAGGTGTCCTTGAATATTGGAGAATCCCCTGGAACTGGAGTGACAGATCCTTTCAGCTGTGTGGGTATTGGGAATTGAACCTGCATCTTCTGGAGATCTAACCAGTGTTCTTAACCAGTTCTCCAGACCTCCCCTGAGTTTTTAGTTAGCTAATCATCATAATATTTCTTGTGTGACTATTATGTACTATGACATGTTAAAGGCATTATGATAATAGTAGCACATAAATAAGAAACAATATTCCTGCCCTCGAAAAGGAGGCTGTCTTTCCATGGATTTTGTGAGCTTTTTGATTTGTTTTTTTTTTGTCTTATTGGTTGTATTTTTAGTTAGTTTTGGTTTTCTTCTGTTAGAGAGAGAGAGAGAGAGAGAGAGAGAGAGAGAGAGAGAGAAAGAGAGAAAGAGGGAGGGAGACAGAGAGACAGAGACAGAGAGACAGAGAGGAGGGAGGAGAGGGAGAAAATAAAATTGAAGTTGGATGGATGGGCATGGGGAGGATCTAGAGAAGGGGAAGGAATATGATCAAATGCATTGTAAGGAAACATTTTACTAAAAATTAATTTAAGAAACATGGGGAGTCCAAATGCAAGTAAGAAGACATAAGATGTAAGATGTAACCTGAGATTGGACAAGCTCACCTGATTGGATGTTTTGGGGAAAAACTAGGCATAATTTAGTATGGGTGTGTATTAGACAAAGTGGAAACTTACAAGGAATGGCAAAAGTCAGTAACTAAGAAGCAACTGCAAAATTTCATTTTGCTATAAAGTACTGGGGGAAAGATCTGGAATTATGTATACTAAGCTGCTTGGGGATGCAGGGTAGTAGGAGCTTTGATTTTTCTTTGTCTCCCCTCCATGCTTCCCTCCCTTCCCCTCTTACTCTTCCTTCTCCTCGTTCTCCTCCTATCCCTTTCTCTTCCCTTTCTTCCCAGTTCCTTTCTTGACAGGGTCTTATATAGCCCAGGCTGCCTGAAGACACCATGTAGTTGAGGATGGCCTTGCTGCTTCCACCTCCCAATTGTTGAAGTTACTGGCATGTGTCATTGTGCCTGGCTTATTTTCAAATTTTCTAAAATAAACCTTAGGGTACTTTGAAAGAAAATGTCCCTCAAAGGGAGTGGCACTATTAAGAGGTGTGGCCTTGTTGGAGTAGGTGTGGTCTTGTTGGAGGAAGTGTGTCACTGTGGTGCTGTGAGGTCTTATATATGCTCAAGCCATGCCTAGTGATACAGATCACTTCCTGTTGCCTTCAGGATGAAGATGGAAGAGCCCTTAGCTCCTTCGCCAGCACCATGTCTACCTGCATGCTGCCTTGCTTCCTACCATGACCAATA